GTATCTACGAGAAAGATAAACTGTCCCAAAGCAACAATACATTGAAAAAATCTTCTTATTGTATATAAAACATGGGTTCTTATCCAGGTTTCCTTGGGTATCTTCCTCGGTTTGTTAAAAATTGTTCTTTTTGATATGTTGTAGTTCTTCTCCGCTATTCGTTGTAAAATTTCTGCTGCTCTTATTACAATAAAACACTTCTGAAATGTCTCTGTAGTGTAATCTGCACGTCTTCTTGACCCGGGCTTAACATACTTTCTGGGCATGTTTAAAATGAAATTAATTACTTTTTTATGTAGGTATTGATTGTTTTCATAAATATTTTTATTTTAAAACTTCAGTACTCATAACATTGTACTTAAAAGCTTATAAATAATTAACAAAGAAAATTCACATATATGTTGGGGCTACTTTACTTCGCTGTAAATTAGACCCAAAACGTATTTCGCGGTTACTTTGCTCAAGTATCATTCTTCTCATTTTTCTTACTGCGCCGTCTCTTTTTGAAGATTGGCGATACAAATGCCAGTTGTAGCTTTTGGAAACTGCCGCACGAAAGATTTCTGTGGATGAGCGGTCAAAACATCTCATCGGATCTTTCAGTCACGAGTTCTGGCGATTTCTAACTGATCTTTTGCCCTTAACTTGACCTTCCAATATGGTTTGAATTAATTCATATTTTTCACCCTTCAACACATGACTCAAGTATTGTATTTTTCTTCCTTTAGTTATGCTGAATAATTCTTTTTGTTTCATCATGGAGCAAAGTAACACTAACAATGTGTTTCGGGTTGTTATTGCATTATTATTGTATTATGCTTAGTTTAACTAATATTTAAGCTTTAAGAATATTTTTTAGGTATACAGCGATAATAGTTCTTTTCACTACCAACTTAGAAATACCTAATTGTAAGATATAAATCAAAATTTTCATTAAACACGTAAAAATGACAAACCACTCGTAGTTGCGTTTGGGTATTATTCGCACATTCCTAATAGGAAATTAAAATAAACTTTTTTTCGTAACGGCAAAGTAACAACAGACGCAAAGTAATCTTCAGTGTGGATACGTGAATCACATGACTCCAATACCTTAAATTTTTGGCGATTTACGTTACAACACAGTATACAAATTTCTTCGTCGGAAAAACATGTGTCTTTAACGAAGTTCTCTTTAATTACAAATTTATTTATCATTATCTCACTAAACTGTAATCTATGGTTTATAGTTGCACAGTAACTGTAAGTAACTTAGATACAGCTATCCCAACTACCATATTTTCAAACAAAAATAAATCTACAACAGTATCTTCAGTAGCAACGACCGCTATGACACATTCAACAACGAGTACCACTACAAATATATCAACGATCTTAAGGTCATCTTCAAAAGCATTCTTTATAACCCACCTAATACCGCACGATACATCAGTACTATCTAAAACAAATATATCCACTTTACCAACCATATGATCTCACATAAGCATTGATAAACAGTATTTATCTTCTAGTCTACACAATAATTCTAGCTCCCTTTATGAAAATAAAGACTGTCCGGCACCACAAGAGTTTAGCATATCCAACGAGGAAAATACATCAGAATCATCCTCCAAACGAACTATATCTAAAGCAATAACACCCCCACACCCCCATTTAGACAGCAGCTAGTGAAAATATATTTTCAGAGCCAACCCACAAACAAAAAAAGGCGTAAAAACAATAATTAAAAAATTATTCGATTCCGAAAAAAAAAAAATAATAACTTCTGAAGACACAGTTGATTTATTTAAAAAAAATTAAGGAGCTAAATATGTTATCAGTGTAATCAGTGTAAAAATGTTATCAGTGTAAATAAACCTCAGATACTCAAGGATGTATACAACTCTTATCCAAAATCCTTTATGTATACTTGAACGTCCACTAAAATGGAAATGTACAAAGTTAAAAAAGAAACTGACGAAACATCTAAGAAAACTCAAATACAACATTCATTAAAAAACTTACAAAATTTTTACCTATCACGTATACACAGATGCCTCTAAAACATCAACTGGAATTGGGGCAGCTGTCGCTACTTCAAATGTTACATTTGAATATAAATTACCATCCTTAAGCTGCATACAAATCGGCGAGCTATATGCCATCTACCAAGCTCTCACTCATATTAACTCCGGTAGTATATACAAATTATAATTACCGATTCCCTCAGTTTCATCAATACCATTAATCAGCTTTATACAACACATCAAATTGCTTTCCTAATTAAAAAAGAACTAGCTATCATACCAAACAGCAACCAAACTGGACTTTGGAATGAAGAAGCGGACCGCATTGATTAACAAGCAAGAAACAGTCAAACCGCGAGTGAAGTGAGAAATGTAGTGCTAAATGACTTAAAATCATTTTTTGAAATGAAGGTTGAAAACTTATGCCAAAACTAGTGGAACATTCCAACTTCAAAACATCGCAAACTGAAAACATTTGTAAAACCGTGGAATTCAAACAGAGCTATTACTCGGCCTCGTCTAGGACATAACCGACTTACATATGGGCATATAATTGGCCACACTATTCCTACCTTATGTGACAATTGTAATGTTCCATTCAGTGTAAGCATGTCCTTGTAGGGTATCCTAGATACCAGTTGCAGAGACAGACCAACCAGATCATTGGATTAACAACTGAAATCTTAGGAGAAAACCGTAAAATTGAACAATTGGTAAAATTTATTCAAGATATTAATATACTTAACAAAATTTAATATTTATAAATAAATTATCCTACGCATATTTATTTATAATAACCTCTAAGGTTTAAGCGACAATGTTTGTATATAAAAAAATTTATTCGTGTAGCTATGTGTAAGGATGTATGTCGATTTTGAAAGTAACTCTGCACTAAATCTAAAGATTAATTGTAATTTTTAACAGTTTTTGGTCTACTTACCTGTTCGAATGCTATCTTTACTCGTCCATTTTTTCCAAAGCGCTTTACAATTTTTTGTACCATTGCATTATGGGTATAAGAATGTTTTGGAAAAGTATCGTTGAACAAGTTGGCTACTCAACCATAAGATCTTTTTCTATCGCTTAGCCGCTCATCATTAAAACAGTATTTCGCTTTTTTTTATTAAAAACCATCCTTACTGTAGAGCTTTTAATTACACATAAAACAACTGCCAGCTTTTTTTAGTAGTCAGTACAATTTATTTTACAAAACTTTTTAGTAAGCGTCAAGCTATTGTTAGTTTTATGAATTAATGACATAATCACAGCATTTTGTATTTACTGAATTACTTTAAAACTATTGGGTACTGAGAAGTTTAATTTACTGTTACATATGTATTGTTTGTGTTACATGTGTTTGAAGTCGTATTGAAGTAAGGATTACAATAATAATATAATATACAAAGTACTGTATTAAAAAAACCAAAGTGACTAATCAATTTAGAAAAATGGTAAATCTAACAACATTGTAAGTATTATTTTTTTTTAATTAAACAAATATACCCGCATCAACCACTAAGGGTTACTAGCGGGGGGACATACACAAACAGTAAGATACATATTGTTACATAAAAAAAATATTTTTCACAATCTCGTATATAGTTTAGTCATTTTAAGAAAACTTAATAAAGACTGGAAATTTGACGTTAGTACACTTTTTAAATTGTCACTAAGGCCACACGCGATTTTTCGTTCTGGTACACTGGACACTCAACAATTATGTTTTACTGACAACTGAGTGTTGCATTTGGTTCAACCAGCAGCTTCCTGGTTGAAGATAAGCTTGTGGATAAGGAAAGTATGTCCTATTCGGAGTCGGTTTATAATGACTTGGTCCTTTCTATTATTTGGAAAGATGAGTTTTGTTCCTACCTGACTTAGACATTCTTTGAGTTTGTTGGCAGTATGATCCCAAGTAGTTTGCCACGCTCTGTATATGTGGGCTTTGATATTTACTTTGTGATCAGTCCAAGGCATTTGATTTATGATAGCAATACTTTGGTCGGTGGTTGCATTGCTTGCCAGAGAGTCCACTTCCTCATTACCACTTATTCCCATGTGGAAAGGTACCCAGATGAAGGAAATATCTTTTTGTTGAGTCTGTAGATAAGATAACTCTTCTTTGATTTTGAGAAGTATGACGTGAGTTGTATATAGATGTTTTATTCCAAGTAATGCGCTCATTGAATCGGTGATGATAAAAAATTTGCTTTCATTGATAGAAAAACATTTTTTCATAGCCTGGTGAATTCCCGTAAGTTTTCCGGTATATATACAACAATTTGTTGGGATTCGTATGGTAGACTTGACGTTTTCGTATATGTAGGCTGCAGCATGTCCTTCATCACATTTGGCAGCATCAGTGAAGATTTGATAGGTTGTTGGGTATTTGGATATTATACTTTATAAGCTTGCTGTATAAGCAAAGGATGTGTGGAAAGTATCAAATTTGTAATCTCAATATTGCAGGATATGCGTATAATGGTTTGTATACAATTCGGACCATTTATTTAAGAGATAATTAGGCGTTTCCAGACTTCTGGTCCACTCTGTATAAGGCGATTAATCTCATCTAAATACCGCATTTACCTTGAAGGTCAGACTATACAAGTAATTTAAAGTCAAGTTTGTTGGTATGTATTACCAACTGTTATCAGTTTCACAGAGTAAAACACAATATGATAATAGATAATAATTATATCATATGATATCAACATAAAAATATCCCACTACTTACTTACCTATAATAAGTATAATACGGTACTTTTGTCTTTAAGTTTATTAGTAATAATTAAAGCAGTTACCAGTTATTAAAATACTATTTACTTATAATTAGTGAAGACTACGCAATACAGTAAAATACACAACGAAACATAGAATTAAATCAGGTGACAGGCAGAACTGTGTTGTTAAAAATAATCAAACTTCATTTCAGCCTTGAGCTAGACGCTCTCAGTTCGATATCTATAAATTGTTTTGCTTCAAACACAGTTTAGTTATACACAACCGTTTTTATTGTGTGGTATTCTACGATGACTCTGCTTTCGGAGGATATTTGTGAATTAATTCAACAATGTTTTAAAGAAAAAATCGAAAATTTTGATATTAAATTAAACGAAGGAAATAAAAAAGGTGAAGGGTATATTGGAGAAATTATTTTTGCTTCACTGGAAAACAAACTAAACGGCAAAGAAGATCATTTGGTTATAAAAAAAGTATTTAATAGTGAAATAGAAAAGACGCGTGAGTTTTTATCTTCGTCATATTTAAACGAAATATTCTTTTACAATGATGTGTGGCCTAACTTAAAGAAATTCCAGAATACGTTCCCGGAAGTTACACCTGTGGATGTCGCGGCAAAATGTTACGGAACGTCTAGTGTGAAGGGAAGCGAAAAAGTGATTTTGGAAAATTTAAAGTTCAAAGGTTATGAAATACACCCTAAACGGACGCCGTTGAGCAAGGAATTATTTGAAGATATATTTGCTTTATACGGAAAATACCACGCAACGTCTTTTGCATTCAAACATTATCATCCAGAAGAATTTCATAAACTGGCGTCGAATTTAAAAAATAATTGGTGTGGGTTTCAAGAAACCGAACTCTGCATTACAGCTATTAAACACAGTTTTGGGGGTGTCAAAATGATTCTGGAGTTTACTAAAGAAGAGGATATTTTAAGAAAAATGGCGCCTTATATCGAAAATGGTAGAAAGATTTTTTCTGACAGTCTTAATTATGAAGGTCCAAATTCAGTTATAATACATGGTGATTGCTGGAGTAATAATATGATGTTTAAGTACAACGTAAGTATTATATACCTAATAAATAAATGGCTAGTCAGGAACAGAAGTGATCTAAGTGACATTTGAATAGTTTTCAATAATAAGGAAAAATAGTTTTTCTTCAAAAAATCGTTATTCTTTTATTTTTATTATTAATTTTGTTTTTTTATGTTAATCAATAAAATAAAATAAAAATTTTAGTACCCTTGAGCACAAAAAAATAACAAAATGGTCCCAAAACATAGCATTTTTTACACTTGGATCACTTCTGCTTTTAGCAAAATAAGTCAACGAAGTAATGCAGAAAGGGGTTTATCTGTAATACCACAATAATAATTATTAATATGTCAAAAAACGTTTATTTTACAAAACTAAATTCTTAAATTTTTAATACTAAAGCTAAAAAACCGAATTAAGGATACTGATAAAAAACTAATTTTTAACTTAATAAATTAACATTCTTAGTTATTATCTCCTTCCTCTTCACCCAATGTGCCTGGTAGATTATTCTCTTCCTGGGCTGCTTGACCCCTGCGAGGCTTATGGGGTAAGCTTAAATAGAATGAGTGATGTATTGGTGGAACATATAAAAGAATCTTTTTTATGTCTTGCATTTTTTCGTAATTTAAAGGTTTTGCGTAATCGTTCGAATCAGTAGGGATAAAAAACTGTAAGGTTTTAAAAAAAGTTCCTTTTTTTTTGCATTTATTTAAGTCAAAACTTTCGTAATTATCTGAGTAGTCACTGTTAAAATAAATTTTACTGCCTCCTTTTAAAAATTTAATTTTTCGCATTTTTGATATCAAAACGTTATTACCAGTGGTACTTTTTCCACCTGTATTCATTATTTTTCCCAGTTCATTAAAGTCGACAAATTTTGCGCCCATGTCAATTACTGTGTATGGATTCTTTTTTCTACAATCTTTTACCAAAGACATCCACTCTTGCGGAATGTAAATACATTCTTTTTTCTTTTGTGCTTTTGAAATATCTGAAAAATCAGAATCGTTTGGCAGGAATGAGTGTCCACTAACAAGATAGCAGGTCACTATTTCTGTAATATTTGGACAAGAATTTACGACAAACATCATAAAAAACAGCATATTCCAATTACGATTCTGACCAGAGCATGAGCCACTAAATGTATAGAGCGTGGTTATGTTTTTGGACAACACATTTTTTATATTATAATAGAGACAGGATAATAGTTCCTGGGAACCTCTGCTTCCAGTTGTTTCGTACCACATATTCATTGTTATTGTGTCGCCAACTGCTGAATAAAGACGCAGTCCAAAATTTAGCATTTGCAACTGACGCATGTAATAAACCTCTCCAGTTTGTATCATTGGAGTTGGAAGAGTACGTTGTAAATCAAAAGTCATTAGGCAAGATGTGCTTTTATTTGCTAAAGAGGATTGTTTGTAGCTATTCAATAAGTTCCTTGCTGTGGCAGCGAGAAGATGGTGATTACTCTGCTGTTGTTTGAGCTGAAGGTTTTTATCGACGTTAGTTTCGTTTTAAGTTTGTACCCGAAAAATATCGCATGCTTAGTATGTATCTTTTTTCGGCATATAAAAATGCAAGTTATAGCCTCTAAAAATGCTCTCATAGTAGCTTTTCTTTAAAGGAGTTTCATTCCTTTCCTGGCATTTTTTTTTCATATAAAGTGTACATGATTTGAAGATTCAAATTAGGTGCTAAATATTGCCAGCTAGCTTTCACAAAATCGTTGACGTCGTCCTTTATTTTATTACCCGACGGTCCTTTGCCCTTCTGATCAGGAGTGTATATGGAAGTATCTGGATCCCTTTTTCTATTTAAAGCATAATTCAATCTTTTATTGGAGATTTGCAAAACTTTTAAAAAGAAACTTTTGCAAACATGGTGTTTGTTAAAATAAAAGTATCTAGAGTGTTTGGTCCTTTTACTTTTGGTCTCTTAGGCGTCAGCACCTTGACAGCAGCACAAATATATGGTGTTTGACCATTCCAGTCCAATGAGTAAAATTGAGCGTGAACATTTTTTTGTATCTGTTGTGTTACCTGGTCACTACATTTTTTTCGGCACACGCATATTATTGGAGCCAAAGTTTTACCAGGAATAACTTTTCCTTTGTAATTTGTATATTCCTCTCCTTTATTTCTTTTATTTTTAATTACGTTTCATTTCCATGCATTTTCGTTACGTCGTTTTCGTTGTACAAGGTCTTTTGATGTACCCATATTTTGCACGGTAGCGACATTTTCCTGGAATAAATTTTCCCTGACATTTACATCCTCTGAAGAATTCGATGACTCTCCTGAAGGTTGATAAGAGTCACCACTATCGGCAAAGGGCTCAGACTCAGTTCCAGATAATTCTGGTTGGATAGAATCAAAGGTATGTTCCGCAGTAATATTTTTATCAGCACTGTATTCCGGATCTTTATGTTCTAAAAAAAAAATAAAAGAAAATTAGTTAAAATAATTCATCAGAATTGTTATAAAACACGAAATTAATAATTTAAATAATCAAAGTTGACCCCTAAAGAAAACACAACTTTTTTTACTTAAAATAGTATTGGCATTTAACATTACCCGTTTAAAAAAATAATAAAAAAGGTACACAGAGAAGGTAATTCAAACAAAAATTAAAAAAAGCAAGAGCAAAAGTGAACCAAGTACGTTTTTTTTATCTATTTACATTTGAAATTATATACCAACATGTTTTAACGTCAAGAGCAGAAGTAATCTCACATACAAAAAATGTGGGTTATAATAAAAGTGTTACTATTCAAATGTAATAAAAAACAAACTTGCCACCTTGCCTATGATTATTTACTCTTAATACGATTCTAAATACGTACCGTTGCTAAACAGACTATTTAAATTTTGCCCATTCTTCGAAGATTCTGTATGCGAGTCTTCTACAGCATCCTGTTGTCTAGAGGTTAAAGGTGTACTCACGTTCAATGCTGCCTTAACAATTCTGTGAGCTCGTGTTTCAAACGACATTTTAAAAGCTTTTAAATTCGGCAAACCAACAATATGTTTTTCTGACACAATACATAACCTAAAATACTCTTCTTCTTCTTTAAACAGCATTCAGCTGGATTAAAAAGTTCAGAATATCATCTATCTTTTTCAAGATGGATCAGTTTTGCACAAAATAATAACGTGTAAAACTAATCCAAGTGACATAAATATCTAATAGATTACTTTTGCACTAAGTATTTAAAAATAAAAAACTGATCTAAGTAACAGTAAAAAGTTTTGATCACTTCTGCAGAAAAATAAATTTTAAAATGTCAAATTGCAGAAGGGATTTTTGTGAAACAGTGCCTCCGCAAATGCGAGTTCAGTTACATGACTTTTTCAGAAGTTGCGTTATGAATTTTAGATTACAGAATAGGCAATATCTAAGTTTTGACCAAAATGTCACTTAGATCACTTCTGTTCTTGATTAGCCAAATAGTTTTAGTTGCACAATACCGATTGTTTCAGATTATAACGTTCATTTTACTTTTTTTAAATTGAATGCATTTGCTCTTCTTGATATTATTTTTTAGTGGCATATTGTTTTTTTTTTGTTTTCAAACATCAAACAACAAACCGAAAATTCCAAAATAATTTATTATTTGACGGTTCGAGTTCTAGACCAAACAAAAGTCCTCGCCATTCATCTCTGTTGTTTGTAAGACGTTTCCAAAATGGTCTTTAAGTTCTTTTAATATTGTGACTCCAGCGCATTTGCGGTCAGCCTCGTGGTTTTTTGGCTTTATATGGCTGCCAATTCCCGAGTTCTTTACTTAATCAGCCATACTTAAGACGTTCGTTATGCCCAGCCAATTTCCATTTCCGTTTAGCTGCCCGTTCGACAGCATCTTTTACTTCTGTTCTATTACGAATGTCTACATTGGTGTTATGGTCTTTTAGTGAGATACACAGCGTTTATCGTTCCCTAGCTCCCTGAGTTTTTCTGATCTTTATGTATATTTTAGTGAATGTACAGGTTTGAGCTCCATATAATTGTACAGGTAGGATAGAGAAACAAACACTTTGGTTTGCAGTCTTTGAGGTATATTTTTATTTTTAAGTACGTATGGGAGTCTTCCAAATGCTACTCATCCCATTTTTACACGTCTACTTATTTCGGTAGTCTGACTTTCTTTGCTTACCTTGACATTTTGACCTAGATATGTATATTCATCTACATGTTCTATCTCTGTCACTTGGATGTTTATCATAGCTTTGTCATCTTTGTTTGACATTAGTTTAGTTTTGCTGAAATTTATTTTTATTCCTTTTTTTATGGATTCTGTGTGGAGCTCCTAAATCATCGTATTCAGTGCATTCCACTTATCGGCTATTAGTACTGCATCATCTGCGCATCTAACATGGTGCAAGTATCTTTTGTTAACACATACTAATAATCAATACCAAATATAGTTTATAGCTATGTACTTTTTTCCGGACAGAGGGTGTAATTACACCTCATTGCACTCCGCTGCTGGCATCCATGCTCCTAATAGTCATTTTCTCTCTTATATAATTTTTCTCTAATTTGCCCTAATGTTCTTACATACATAATATACACTTCCTTTGGCTGTGGTACGAGTGTTATTAAACTATTATTCTCAAAACTCCGTTTGTTTGTCATTGGTATTGTTTGCCTTGTTAAACCACTGTTATAAGAATATATTTTGTTTATAATTCAAATTATAACAATATCTTGGTGTTGTCAGGTTGTCAGGTTGTCATGTTTATTAATAAACTATTATATTCAAGATCCTTTTCAAACTTTATTTTAAATGAACATTATCCATAATATATTGAGTTTTGCTTTATATTTTCGATCAACAGTTTATCATCCCTATTACACATAAACAAAGTTTTAGCTGACTTGATTGATGTACGTCATCGCATTTGAATTAATATAAAATCAATTTTATTATTTGTGCAGCTATCAGGAGATGAGGTGTGTGTGGTCCGTATATGTTGTTTAGAGAGTATTTGTAACGAATTGAAAAAATCCGATAAGTGTCGCTTCTTTAATTACATATCTCGATAAGTCTCTATTTTGACTAAAGCCAAAATAAATTTTTGTCATAGAAATATCCTGCCTAAACATCTCCCTTGGTGTTCTTTGGCTTGCCTGCTCTATTTTATCTATTTTTTTTTTTCATTAGTTCTCTTACAATAAAAGTTGCATCTGTTGTTCATCTGTATTGCTTAGATCCAAACTGATTTTTTGAAATATTCTATCTTAGAAACCTACTAATTCATGTATTATTCTATATTTTCTTTTAGGTTCACCCACATAATCATTGCAATAATCATCTCCTACATTATAGTAGCTCCATAATGTAGCTACTCCTTTTTAAAAAATTTAACTGTTTGTCCTTGTTAAGTATATTGTAATGGATCATTTTATGTTTATGACATTCTTCACAAATTGTTGGATAGGATAAAATTGACGAAATGCCCCTGATGATGTTCTATGAAGCGAAAGTACTTGGGCAAAATTTGATTAGTAAACTGTGCTCGATATCTGCCGTTTCATTTGGTCAAAGTTTATTTATTCGAGCGTTCAACCTTATATCATTGTATATATGTCGCGGGGGTAGGCATCTATCATTTCAGTAGGCCGGAGTGAATAGATGTCCAAGTCCAGATCGGGACCCAGTTCTGTGGGGTATAAGACGGACCCCTACCTAGGGATACAGGTGAAGACTACAACGGTAGGCACGGCGGAAAAGAAGATCTTCGGTACGACGTGGATGGCGGAATTGGCATCCCTGAATTTTAGGGATGGTATAAAATCAAACCGATATGGTCTGACCCATATTGGGCGGTTGTCAACAGTGTATGTACCCATAATGAGCGGCTGAACTAAAAACTCGTCAACACGCGAAGCAAGCGTGACATTTTAATTGCTATTACCTCTTTATTATGTCAGATACGAATACAAAAACGGATTTACCCCAGGTGAGCAGAAAGAAAAATTCAGAATCTTACACTGATAGACCATCAGTCAGCCCTACGGATTGTGGGGGGGGGGGACACAAAATTCTGACATATTTTAGAAAACCATCTAACAGATATATATCTCTAAAAATTGCAACTTTTAATGCAAGACCCTGCTATAAGAAGAAAAATTCATAGAAATGGAATTTGAACTTGATAAAATCAATTGGGACATTGTTGGAGTCGCTGAGGTCAAACGGAAAGGAGATAGCCTAATCACTTTAAAATCCGATGACATTTTCTATCATGTCGGAGAAATCGATGGGAATGGAGGCATTGGGCTCTTTATTAATAAAAAGCTAGCTGAGAATATCATATCAGTAAAAGCAGTTTCCACAAGAGTTATACTTGCAAAATTACAACTAAACACCCGTTACTCCATAAAGATCATTCAAGTCTATGCACCAACATCGAGTCACGCTGACGAAGAAATAGAACAGTTCTATGATGACTTGTACACAGCTGTTTCAGAAAACCAAGAACATTTTACGGTAATATGTGGCGACTTTAATGCCAAAATAGGAATAGGCACTGACCCAGCTGAAAATGCCCTCGGAAATTTTGGCACACCAGGTAGAAACGAAAGGGGCGAAATACTCTTAAATTTCCTATTAGAAAACAATCTATATTTATTGAATAGCTTCTTCTATAAGAAGATCCATAGAAGATGGACTTGGAAGAGCCCGATGGTAAGACAAAAAATGAGATCGACTTTATCATCACTGACAAAAAACATATAGTCAAATATGTTACAGTCTTAAATCTATTTTCGGTTGCAAGCGATCATAGAATGGTCCGAGCAACTGTAGAAATCAATATTAAGCAAGAAAGACTGAAGATGATAAAAAGTAAAAATTCAAACCATGGATGTGCCCAACGAATGAACTTGACTTTGAAAAATATATCACCAGTAACTTACTCAGAAATACAACAAGAGAAGACGTAAATAACCTAAACGAAGAAATAGTAGATACATTAACACAAGCTCAGGAAAAATTTGGCCCTAAATATGGAAAAGAACAAAAAATTAGTAAAGAAAAGAAACAAAAAATGGAAGATCGTAGAATGTTGAGAAGTCAAGGAAATGTTGACTCACAAGATATAAACAGCATCAATAAAGAAATCTCTAAAGCCATCAGACGGGATATTAGAAAATACAACAACGAGAAAATTATAAAAACTATAGAATACAACAAAAGCATGAAAGCATTGAGGAGAAAAACGGAAAATGGCAAAAAAGAAATCTTCCGACTTAAAGACAAAAATGGAAATATTATCTCAGATAGACCAAACATATTACATATAGTGGAAAGTTTCTATGGAACATTATATAAAAGTCAAGTTATTCCAGAGCTCATCGAACAACAAAAGGTACATAATGTAGGATCGGAGGATATACCAGATATATCACTAGAGAAAATTCAACATGCCCTCAAAAATATCAAAAATAATAGAGCTCCAGGGAAGATGGTGTAGTCATTGAGACAATTAAACTAGGAGGTCCACTTTTGATGTCCCGAATCCAAACACGTTTTAATCTATGTCAGCATAGTGAAAACATTCCAGGTAAATGGAAGAATTCGGTTACAATCCTCCTCCACAAAAAAGGGGATAAATCAGATTCTGAAAACTATATGGCAATTAGTTTGCTTAACCATCTATACAAGCTGGAATACTGACAACGAAATTCGAAGCAAAACTCCATTTCTATCAATTAGAAGAACAGGCAGGATTTTGAGCGGGACACGGAACAAGCGACCATTTGCAATGCCTTAAAATTCTAGTTGAAAAGTCTATCGAATATAACCGACCCATTGCTCTTATCTTTGTCGACTTCCACAAAGAATTTGACTCAGTCGAAACAGTTGCTATTTTAAAAGCACTATCAAAATGCAGAATAGATCACAGGTATGCAAATATTATTCGAAATATATACGAAAATGCGACAACAACCGGTAACCTCCATTGCATGACTGAGAAGATAAAAATTGGCAGAGGGTGCGGCAGGGACATACCTTGTCGCCAAAACTATTTATGACAGTTATGGAGTACGAATTTAAACGGCTAGAGTGGGAATCAAAGGGTATTATCATCGATGGAAAGATATTCAATCATCTCAGATACGCCGATGATATTGTTCTCATAACAGACAACTTAGGAGAAGCAAGAGTTATGCTACAACAACTACTGCAAGTAACCTAGAAAGTCGGTTTAAAAATAAACTATGGAAAAAATAGTTGACCAATGATGACCAATCTCGTTTCCAATGAGCTAATAGAAATCGAAAAGTCGCCCATAGAATTTGTGGAAAAATATGTGTATTTGGGTCACGAAATAAGGTTAACGCGAGATAACCAAACATGCGAGCTACTCAGAAGAATAAGTCTGGGTTGGGCTGCATTCGAAAAAAATGAGAGACGTATTTAAAACAAATATACCGATCCATTCAAAAAGAAAAGCTTTTAACCAGTGCGTTCTACCTGTCCTCACATACAGAGCAGAAACCTTAACTCTCACAAAAACATCAGCCGAAAAATTGAGAAGGACACAACGAAAGATGGAGAGAGATTGTTCCACATCAGAACTCAAATAATTTACCAAACGTCTTTGTTTGGTGTTTTTATAAGTTTCTTGATATTGATTTAGATCAATTTGATTCAACTGGTAAATATTAGATTTTTCAGGTAGAGAATTATCATAACCATCTTTATCAGATTGTATTTCAGAAACGCCTTTATAAGAATAATCGGAATGTTGGCAATGTCAACCAACTCTTCTAAATCCAATGGATTACTAGGAGTATATGTGTTATCAAGATGATTAGAAATATTTAACTCACCAGAATAATAAAAAATGGCACACAAGTAATCTTGTAAATAACCACCATATTAATAATAACGATTAATTTGTAAAGTGTTATGTTAATACACTTTATACACGTGGTTATTGCCTACTACTAACCGTTTTATTTTGACGAGAACTATTATCAGCAATCCAGAGTCGGTATCGTAAACGCCTCCCACTCCATCGTATCCGACACGAATTTATGTCGCATAAGATGTTTTATAGGGATCAACTGGTGCTTACGATAATTTTCGGTAACAATTTCTTAGGACGGCTTACCGAATAGGCGCTTACGATACGAAATAAAACATTATTGTGCTACATCAAGTAAGTTTAGCTTACTTGTTAGCGTAGTTAAAAGTAGCCCTGTTTACCAATAGTATTCTAAAAGAATTACTGCTTTCGGGAGACCTTTCTTCGATAGCAAGTTATGTGAACCCCAAATTCAAAGCTTCTTACTGGAGACTATTGAAATATTCTAAGAAAATAAATGAATTAAAATATTATATGATCATTTTATTTCTCTATTTTTATTTTATTTATTTAATTATCATTTTTTTAACATTTTAGGATAAAAAACAACTCGAAGATATAAAACTAATAGATTTCCAAATGTCAAGAGCATCGACTCCTGTATTTGATCTTACATATACATTTTACTCCGGGGCGGGTCCGGAGGAACTTAAAAATTGGGAACATTTCTTAAAAGTTTATTACAACAGCCTCAAATTGTCGCTGCAGCAGTATAATCTCGATGTTGATAAAATTTATCCATATGAAACCCTTAAAGCAGAATGGAAAGACTACATTCAGTTTGGTTTTATCATGGGCATTATGATTTGGGGTGCAAAGTTTGTTGAGGAGGACGAAATAATTGACTTGGATGTTACGGAAAACAAGGAGGAACGAACAAGCTTAAAAGCAAAAGAACAATATGCTTTTCATGTCTTAGCTTTAATTGAACATTTTTATTTAAATAACTTTTTAATTGAAAGTTGATATTTTTTTATTATTTTATATATTTAGAAAATAAAGACAAAGATTATTCTTCTACAGTGAGCTGTGATTCGCGCGTCTGTTTCTTTTTCCTTCGCCTTTGAATAATTCTTACTAAATTATATCAAAATTAAAATACATAAGTATACTCTAAATGATTAAACGAACCGAAAAATAGTAAAATTAAAAAAAAAGACAACAACAAAATTTAAAAATATTCTAGATATTTAATGCGATGAACTTAACGACAAAGGCATCAGCTTTTTTTATAATTTAAAAGACGAAAATAATTTAAGTTTTCACTAGATATTATAGAGTCTACGAAATACACACATTTAAAAACTGAAGAAATTCTCGAAAACTTTGGAAAATTTTAAATACCAATGACAGTATGTTTTGTAATATCCATAAGGAAAATTAAATTCCTGTAGTTGGCGGTATACGTAAGTTTTATTTAAATGTTCTTTAAAAAAATAATATAATTAAAAAGACCCTTTCGGGCTACTGAAACCTCAATACTCCGGGAGTATTGGATTTTAGGAAGTGTCGAACTTCCAAATTTCAGAAGAACTGGAAGAGAGGTGATAAAAATACTAAAAATATGGCTAAGCTCAGAGGAACAAAGTTAAATGGCCAAAGAGACACTAAATCTCAAGTGAGTGTTCGGGCTAGCTTCAATGCACTGGATTGTGGCTTTAAAGATATAAACAGATAGCAAGGATACTGAGCTAATGAGACAAGAAACAAAATGAGACCTGGTAATATCAAATGTGATACAACTAAAGAAGGTCACTGGGAATAAATTTATAGAAAGAGAACAATAAGAAGAGAAAAAGAAGGGCGCCAACTCAACGATAGTTGAGATTTTGAAGTAACAAATGACCGGAAACAAATGATACTAGAGATAATAACCTGAAATCCAAAAAAACTAAATATTAATCTTATCTTGCTATATTATATACTGGTTAGTAGAACTGAAATAAAACTCAAAATAGTAACAATAAATATATTTATAAAAATGTGTATATCGATATATATGTATTAACAATTTACATATAATGCAAAAACTAAATAACAGTGGTAGTGGGTGTGTAAAGATACAATAGGACCAAATAGCCCCTCAACAAGCGAATAGTCACTACCACTGGCCAAAGAAAGAGTGAAATATTAGTAAAAACCTAGAATAGTCCCTATGGTAGCCAAAGTCTTAACACTAAAAGTTAGTAATTTAATTTAACTTAGTTCTACTAGAATGAGATACAAGTGACAGTATGGTAAAGATATCAAAATTGATAAATCTAGTACCATTTATATTATAGATAAAAAGTGAGTTGTTACATATTCCTTATATAATGTTTTAAAAACCACATGAAATTTATTTCCCTCCCCAACATCAAAATTGTATTATATCAAAAATGTATTCTATAAAAAAAATATATTAAATCAACAAGTGAGTTTGGTCAGACTCTGTATCCCATTTAAAAACCTAATAAAAACATATAATGTACTTTCCCTCCCCAATATCTTAGAATTTAATTATCAAAATTGTATTCACCTTATCATATGCATATGAAAAGTTAACAGTAAATAGAAAGTAACACAAAAAGTCAAATAGTTAAACAACTTATCTTAGCAACACTATAAGTCCATAGGAAAACTCCTCTTGGCACGGCTAAATTAATTCATGGTTGTGGTGACAAGTCCCATGGTTCCGGGTGACAGCAAAATCCACGGGTTACATACGCAAGTTGCTAACTATCTAAGGATTCAAAATTACTAACTAATATCCTTGAGGGAATATTTTCAAGTGAAGTGACGGAATCTAAAAGAATTATCAGATTTACTTACTATTTTATTTAATACGTGTAGTAGCATAGATTGACTGCACCAAAACAAAACATTACATTATGTCAACATGTCAGAATTTCCGAAGTTACTTCGTAGACATGACAGGCTTGCGCCATGAAATGAACATGCGCAGAATACACAAGGCTGTACCACATTTGTAGAACCTTTTATATTCCACCAAAAAAAGTTAGATAAAAAGGGAACCAACAAAAACTTAATGATAACGACATGGACTAAAACAGAATTTAAGTTTAACTATATAAAAAATGACCTTCTGTTCTTTGTAAGTAAATCAAGGAAATTTTATATTCAAATCATTTCGGAACTCAAAAAAAAAATAATCTCTAAAGAAATACTTAACTGCAATGATAAATTTGATTGTATGATAAAGAGATAATACGTATGAAATGATTTACTTACATGGAGCCGCAGCACGCCAAAAAAAATCTTCCTTTTTATGTGTTTCTCTTATACATGAATCTTGATTTTAATAAATTAATTATTATTATTATTTGTATTTATGAATTATTTTATTCTTCCCCCAAATTATGTTCCTTGCTCCAATTTCGTCACTTTGAAGGTGAAAAAATTTCACCGGTTGGCGTGTCTGCGTAGTGAGTCTCTTGACCAAACTGATCGTTCTCGTACAGACTCGCCCAATCTTCCTTTCTAAGCGACTACTGCGCGTGTGGGGAAAAATGTCCATTTAAAAATCGATCGCTGGCGGAACACAAGAAGTTTCTAGAGGGATTTTAGTTGGACTAGTCAGTAGCGTAAACGCTACACTACATCGCAGAACGTTTTCGGACTAAAAAGTCCATCATTACTGTAATATTACCAGGTATACATGAGTCAAACACTAAATATCTGAGTAAAAACTCTTAAAAAGATACAAAATTTGCGATGTGTTACATTATTAATAAAAAGATATAATACATAACAAATTTTGTAACTTTTTAACTGTTTTTATCCAGATATTTAGTCGCTTCACTTATGTATACCTGGTAATAATACACTGATGATGTACTTTTTTGTCCTAAAACGGTCTGTAATGTAGACCGAAAGGGTCTTTTAATTATACACCTTTTACAAAACTTTAGTATGTTTTATGTTTTTCTTCTTCTTGTAGTTGTAGGACAATGTCATATTTATTCTATTACCACAGATCTTGCGATGTTGATGTTCAGCCCTTTTAGTACCCTTTCGGGGATGTTTCTTGAGGTTTTTTTGTATATAGGTATGTGTGTTTTGCTAATTTCGCGATAACTTCCTGAGTCCATTCTGTCGACATAATCTCCAACATCCTAGAGTCCAGTTTCTCTTAATGTATTCTCATTCCTCATTATATCTTTAAAATAATTTTCGCTTATTGTTTTTAATACTATCATTACGGTAGTTCTCATCAATATTTTGTAAGTGATGTTTCATCTCTTGTTTCCACTGTATATGTACTGATCTTACACATGCTTTATATGTCCGAATTTTGGTATATATATATATATATATATATATATATATATATATATATATATATATATATATATATATATTTGTTCCTACATATAATATTTCTCAAGTATCCTAATATTCTTGCGGCTTTTTAACTTGTTTTTTCACTTCCTATGCAGTATATCTATGTTATGCTACATTGATTTAAGTTGAAATTTATGACTTGTTCTAGTATGTGTTCGTTAATCATTACTTCTAACAGGGCTATTAGCTATAACTATTTAGTGGTTCTTTTTGTTGGATAATAACATGTTTAACTTATGTGCTTTTTTGTTGAGTCTGTAAAGTAGGCGCTGGAAGTCATCTTAATTTTCTGCCGTGGTAAATACATCATCTGTACAGCAGAAAATACACAAATCTCGGTTTACCATTTTGTAGACCATTTTTGTTTCACTTACTTACATTATGTACGTTTCGTAGACTATAAAAGAGTATATACAAGTATATATTTTTAATACATACTAATTATGAGCGCACCTTCAAACCTAGTTACAGTATACGAATATATGAATATATGAATGAGACAACAGTAACATTACATCATAAATATTGATGCCATTTTAAAACAGAAAGGGGAGTAAGGAAGCGGTGCGATGTGTCATCTGACCATTTTAAAAAGCTTCTTTTTCTTCTTCTTGTTAAACAGACATGACTGTCTGTTTTTTAATGTGTCTCCAGAAAGTTGTAGTTCCATTGTTTACATGGTCTTGCTCCTGATCGTCTTCTGATTGGGGAACCATCTTTTGTCGTCTTTATTACTTTGTTTGTTGTAATTCGGCTTATATGATTATTCCACTGAACTCTATGTCTGTATTTTTTATATCTGTACTTCTATCCCTATCTCATAGTGTTTAACCATTAATTTTTCTAGGTGTTTTCATCTCTGCTGTTTTTAACATCCTTTTTGCCCTCTCTGTAGCTGCCTTTCATTTTCTCGATATGTTTATTTCTCCATATTGTTTCATTCAGGCCACCTGCATATCTGTTTGGTCTATTCACTTCATATTCCATTTCTACTTTGAGCTTTTCGTAGCCAGATATTGTGATGCCTAGATATTTAAACTCCATTGCTTGTTGTATTATCTGATCTTCTATCTCCAATTTACTTCTTAGTAACATTACTCTTATAACCATGCATTTTTGGGGAAATTAACATGTTTAATTTTCTGGACGTTATATCAAATTGGTGCAGCATACCTTATAAATCATCTTTACATTAAGATCTTGCCGAACTACAACCGTGTTCTTCAGCTAGTGTTATAATTTCATTTAATTTATTTGTTATCACTTTTGTTGTTAATTGTAGTGTTGTGTTTACTAAAAGCTACTGCAGACAAAAATAAGAAAAAAAAAGAGATGGATGACTTCAGAAATCTTAGATCTAATGGAGGAAAGAAGGAAACATAAAGGCAGGAGTAAGGCAAAATACAAGGAACTACAGAGATTGATAGGAAAGAAAATAAAAGAGGCCAAATCCATCTGGCTTGTTAATCAATGCAGTAAAATAGAAGCATATGCTAAACAGTATGATAGCTTTAACATGCATAAGAAAATAAAGGAAATGACAAATACACTGAGAAAAAAGGAAGAAGTCCTTCTGAAAGACGCAAATGGAAAAATCATTATAGAAATTACAGAGAAATTAAAAAAAATGGAAGACATACATAACAGATCTCTTTGAGGATAATCGACAAGAACCGGAA